ACTTGGAAACGCCTTTCCTATGCAGTCGCCTTTCTGCCGGGCCGTGCTCAGCTGCACGGGGCTAGCTTTGTGATAGCATTGTGAAGTGACCGTGCTATATTTCTTGGCCTCCCCTGAATGAGTCACATGTAAGTGGGGATGGGGATGGCTATTTATATTTTACCTCATAGCATGACAGAAAATGGGCATAAAGTCATACAGTCCTGGGCTGTTCTACTTGGGTATTGATATACCAACCATAACTGGGCTGATTTTAATGTGCTGGAGTCCCTCGCTATGCTATGAGGTCTTGGCCTCTTTCCCCGACACCAGAAGCAGCAGCATTGATTTGGAACGTATCATGATGAAGACCAATATATCAGCTGGACAGCAACAGGAGGGATGGGAGGAGGCACTGGCAGAACACTTCTTTCCCAAAAGCACTCCTTTTTTTCAAGGAGATTTTTCCTTTGTCAGAGGCAAATAAGAGGCTAAGAAACACACAGTACCTCAAATCGCTTAACCTGCACACTCTGGAACTCCAGTTTGTTCTCTAGGTCACAGATCAGGGCTTCCTGTCGACTGACGATTGAGCGTTCAACCATCGACTGCTCCAAATATGCAATCCGGGTCAGAGCCACCTGCAGCTGTTTGGGAAAGCGGGGGGCGGGGGAGGGCAAGCTTTTCATAGAATCATAGAATAATAGGACTGGAAGGGACCTCGAGAGGTCATCGAGTCCAGCCCCCCGCCCTCAAGGCAGGATCAAGCTCCGTCTACACCATCCCTGACAGATGTCTATCTAACCTGTTCTTAAATATCTCCAGAGAGGGAGATTCCACCACCTCCCTTGGCAATTTATTCCAATATTTGACCACCCTGACAGTTAGGAATTTTTTCCTAATGTCCAATCTAAACCTCCCCTGCTGCACTTTAAGCCCATTACTCCTTGTCCTGTCCTCAGAAACCAAGAGGAACAAATTTTCTCCTTCCTCCTTGTGACACCCTTTTAGATATTTGAAAACCGCTATCATGTCCCCCCTTAATCTTCTTTTTTCCAAACTAAACAAGCCCAGTTCATGAAGCCTGGCTTCATAGGTCATGTTCTCTAGACCTTTAATCATTCTTGTTGCTCTTCTCTGTACCCTTTCCAATTTCTCCACATCTTTCTTGAAATGTGGCGCCCAGAACTGGACACAGTACTCTAGCTGAGGCCTAACTAGTGCAGAGTAGAGCGGCAGGATGACTTCACGAGTTTTGCTTACAACACACCTGTTGATACAACCTAGCATCATATTTGCTTTTTTTGCAACAGCATCACACTGTTGACTCATATTCACCTTGTGGTCCACTATGACCCCTAGATCCCTTTCCGCCATGCTCCTTCCTAGACAGTCGCTTCCCATCTTGTATGTATGGAACTGATTGTTCCTTCCTAAGTGGAGCACTTTGCATTTCTCTTTATTAAACTTCATCCTGTTTACCTCTGACCATTTCTCTAACTTGCTAAGGTCATTTTGAATTATGTCCCTATCCTCCAAAGAAGTTGCAACCCCAGAAGGTTCATGATTCTTCAGGCTTTTGGTTTGAAATGTCAGAAACTGCTGAAACACTCCTTGGCCCCTTTTAAATGTGTACTTCCGTCTCTCCTTTATTAATTGATCTCTGTAGCACTGTCTCCCTGCGGGCTTCTCAAAGCTGCACCAAACCTATCAGGAGTAGAGAGCTGTCCCTTCTGAAAGCACACTGGGAAAACAATGCCTGCATTTAGGCACCATGCTGTAGAGAGGGATACAAACACCCAAATAGGGTTGGCAACTGTCTGGGTTTTCTCAGGATCATCACTTTTTTGAGATAACTGACCTGGAAAACCTTGAAGGGCTACACTCCACTCTGCCAGCTGTCTAGTTTTATGGGCTCAGGATTGTCCCTGATGTCCTGTGTTTTTTTTGTTGTTGGTGGTGGTGGTTTTTTTTGTACCTCAGAGGTGGCAGCCACACTCCCAAGTTTTCTGAGCTATTGTCTGTGTGAAGACTGTGCAAACAATTCATTGCATTCAAGATTTTAGGGACAGAAACATATTGGCATTTTCACCCACCTAGGTGTTCCCTCCCACCTCAAACCTTTCAAGGGCAGCACCCATGTAAAATTGTGTACTTTTCCCCAAGGTGGAATTTTGTCTAGCACCTGGAATTCCAGAGGCAGCTTTGGAAATAAGGTTAGATCCACGGCACAGAAACTACAAGGGAGGACATTAACCAGCTCTTTTCAAACATCAGTGGAAAGTTAATTCAAAATTTATTTTTTGGCTCAGGCAGGGAAATGTTTCTTATTTTCTCTACAAACTGTTGAATCCTCCCCTCTGCCATTCTCTCTAACTCTTGATGCCTGGGATAGAAAAGCAATTAGCCAGTGGGACATCCTGAGTGCGTAATATTAAATACATAATTTACAAGCCAGGAGCCAAGGTGACATGAACAGAGAAGAACAGTCCCCAAACAAGGATATGGAAGGAGGCATATTCCCCCCCAACCCTGGTGTGGTGCATGGCACACAGCTGGCTTGTGGTCTTGCAAAGAGAACATCACAATTCAAGACACAGCAATAGCACAGAGAATTAACAGTAAATCCTCCTGTGATGGATAGGAGGAGTGCTGGCCAGTGCTCGGTGACAAAAGAGTTAAACTCAGGTAGCTAGCAAGAATGTTGGCAGGGGACCAGAAGGACCAATGGGATATAGCACTGAAATCTGAATTGGACAGAGATAGCTGGTCAGCTCTTCCTTTGTGTGACTTCTAAGTTAAGGGCTGGAGAGAGTAGATGCATTAATCAGAATTACCATGCCTATAAGAAATGTTGGACATGAACTGGGCCTTGAATTGTGGATCAGCCCAGATAGTGAGAAAGAGGGGAAAGTGTATCTAGTTGCAATCAAGGTATTTTTCTTTGTTTTGGTTGTTTGGTTTGAACTTCTCTGTGTGAATCCATGCCTTCCCTCCCCCATTCACTGTCTAAGGGTATGTCTACACTTGCACTCTATTTTGAAATAGGGATGCAAATGAAGACATTCGAAATTGCAAATGAAGCCGGGATTTAAATATCCTGTGCTTCATTTGCATATTTGCATTATGGCGCTACTGTATTTCTAAATAAAACTCACTGTGTAGATGCTTTATTCTGAGAGAAAATCCTTCTCTCGAAATAACTGGTAAACCTCATTTTTACCAGTCTGTTTTCTCTTTGTTTTCAAGCTCTCGTGTGGTAAAGGAACTTGGGGGTACCCATCTGGAAGAAGTCCAAGTGCTTCCTTCCTGGGTTTCAAGGAGAAAGGGTTTTTTTCTTTCACTTGGTGGTGGCAACTACCCCTCCCCCACAAAAAGTCAATGATTCTGTGACTCTGGAGAGTTTTTGTAAGCAGAGCCTATAGAAGCAAGGTATTTAAGGTCCCTTGCGGGCCCCGATCTTCTGCACTCAGAGTGTCAGAGTGGGGAACAGCCGTGACATCTCCAATTCTCAAAGAACCTTTTAAGTGTGAATTTTCATCAGTCCCAAGGAAAGTTCACCTGCCGGTTTCCATAGATTTCCTGAACATGTAGTTTGGCCTGGCTCCCTGGTTTGCCCCGAGGAAAGTCAATACTAAGCAGTGTTTATTGCAGCTAACAGGAGGGGCTTACATTTGTGCTTATCTTATTGCTCTTTCCCCGGACTTAGACCATAAGTTGTGAAAACAAGGGGGGCGGTTGTACTGTATAGAGATGTTTCCTGACAATATTAAGGTAAACATTTCATTTGACTTCACCTCAAGGACGAGTTCCCCAAAGAGCCTACATTTCAGGACTGACACTTAGAAGTTCGGTGAATTCTTATACATGCCCCTGTATGGGTATGTCTACACTTGCAGCCTATTTTGGAATAGGGCTGCAAATGTAGGCATTCGGAATTGCAAATCAAGCCCGGATTTAAATATCCCGCTCTTGATTTGCATCTTCCTGGCCGGGCGCCATTTTTGAAATTTACAAGCCCGGAATAACTGCCCGTGTCTACACGCGGCAGTGAAATGGACATTCAGAACAAAGCCCTATTTCGAACTACCTGTTAACCCTAATTGCAGGAGGAATAACAGGTAGTTTGAAATAGGGCTTTATTCTGAACTCCCTTTTCACTGCCGCGTGTAGACGAGGGCAGTTATTCCGGGCTTGTAAATTTCAAAAAATGGCGCCTGCCTGGGAAGATGCAAATCAAGAGCAGGATATTTAAATCCCGGGATTGATTTGCAGTTCCGAATGCCTACATTTGCAGCCGTAATTGCAGGAGGAATAACAGGTAGTTTGAAATAGGGCTTTATTCTGAACTCCCTTTTCACTGCCGCGTGTAGACGAGGGCAGTTATTCCGGGCTTGTAAATTTCAAAAAATGGCGCCTGCCTGGGAAGATGCAAATCAAGAGCAGGATATTTAAATCCCGGGATTGATTTGCAGTTCCGAATGCCTACATTTGCAGCCGTATTCCGAAATAGGCTGCAAGTGTAGATATACCCCATGGGAGTAGTCCTGGGGATCGGAGTTTATCACTAACGCCTGTGATCTGTGGGCAAGGAAGGGACTGGTAATTGATTGCAAAGGACAGCTGATTCCCTGAAGCCCTTCACTCCCCATCTGCTCCAGGACTGAGTTAGTTCCTTGTATTCTGAGCTTTAGGAGGCAGAGGGAGGACTTACTTTCTCTTGAAGACTTTGTTTCTCTTTCTTCACTTCCTCCAGCTGTGACTGTAGCTCCCGAATCTGGGTAATGTCCACTGCAGACTGTGAAAACAGAAAATTCAGCAATAATGAGAAAGAACTTGGAGCACAACTGGAAATACACAAGGAAGTTCCATTTTGAAGACTGGCCAAGGAAAGGCAATTTCTACAACCTCTGAATGGGCAGCTGCTCCTGTCCTGAACTAAGCATGCATAAATCTACCAGCTTAGCCAGATTCCTCAGCTTCTGGGGACAACTCTTTGCAGGGCTGATCAGACATGATTTCACGTGTTAAGTCTTTAGTCTTGTTCCTCTCACAAAGCAACTATGGACCATTCAAATTTATTGAAAATATTGGACCTTTGGACATATGGGGCCCATTTTATACCTTTGAAGTCTTTGGAGACCTGATCTTTACTACACCAAAACAGATCAGACGTCTGGTGCTATCACACAACTTAGGATATTCCTATAAAAGCCACACAGAACTGCTGGCACATAGTAGTACCCCCAGAACATCCATGTCTTCTTCCAATCACTTCTTTGGTCAAGGGCTGAGGAAAACATCACAAAGGACCTCCAAACATAGCTTGCTCACATTTTTCTTTGCAACTTTTTTTCTGGTAGTTTAAAATAGAAATTTTTCAAGAACATTTTTCAGTGAAAATAACAATGTCCAGTGAAAACAGAAAACATCTTATTAAGGCAAACCAACTTTTTACTTTCATGGGAGAAAAGTAATAATTTCCCAACCAATAAACTTTAAGCCAGTTTATTCTTCTGAGTGGCAATGTTTACGGATGGATTTCAGGTGTTACTTTGATTACTTGCAGGCAGTGTATAATGCTTGATAGAAGATTGCTAGGTACCATTTCTATTAAAAAGGATTATTTCAGGAGAGTAGTAAACTAACTGTTGCAGACCATAATGGAATGACTCTCTCTCTCTCACTCTCTCTTTCTGTGCATCTAGATATGCATGTTCACATTGATTATTAGAATTCTTAGAATTTATTGTTTAAAAGCTAGTAGGGGGCTGCTCCCTCTGCTCACTAAGCTCCCCTATCCCCTCTCTCAGGCTGCTCTCGCTTCGCTGAGAGCCTGTGATGCTGATGACATAATAATGTCATTCTGCCGCCCGGCAAGCAACATTCTGTCATCTGGCAGGAAAAATTGTAAATCCAGATTCATGAGACCCAGGCTTGTGGACTTAGGATACACCCACACCGGGGCTATGTCTACACTGCAGAGTTTTTCCGGAAAAACTGCTGTTTTTCTGGAAACACTATACTTATGTCCACAGTGCAATTACGTTCTTTTGACAGAAAGTTGAAAGAACACAGGGGTTTTTCCAACAGCGGTAAACCTCTTTCTCGAGCGCCACGGCAGGAGGGGAAGGGAAGAGGGTGGTGACGTACACGGCCAGGGGGCGGGGCCTGGCCAAGTACGTCACCGCCCTACCCGCTTCATGCCCCCCTTCGCCTCCTGCTGTGGTGCTCGGCTGATTTCAGTCCGTGGCGCTCGGGTGACTTCTGCGCCGCTCAGCCAGGCTGCCACAGGGGAGCAAGTGGCACAAGCAGCAGTTTGGGCCCCGCACTCCCCATGCAGCACGGGGAGTTTGGAGCCCAAAAGGCCATTTGGACTGTGCAGTCCCCCAAGTGAGAGGCAGGAGGGGGAGGAGAGCTGAGAGAGAAAGGGGGGAGGCATTAGGAGGAAGAGAGAGAGAGGGAGAGAGAGAGGGAGACAGAGACAGAGCGAGAGACCAGAGGCTCAGGAGAGAAGACCGACATGGAGGAGAGACCTGAAAATCCCATTTTATGACAGGCTAATTGGCTAGTATATATAGAACGAGAATAGCAAGTATCTCTCTGCAATTCCAACAAGATGCATGTTACATTTCCAACCCTTCCCTTGTGTTCTGAAGCCATGACACACACTGGATATCTTTCCAGGAATCTCTTTTTCTTCTGATATATGGGTGGCAGTGTATACTTATGCAAATGTCACACTCTTTACCTGGGCAATCAGAGCTTTGTGTTTTGTCATAAGTTCATTCAGATCCTCCTGGTCCTCATCAATCCGTTTCAGGAGATCAGCTTTCTCGTGCTGCAGCTGGTAGAGCTGCTCTTCAACCTGTGGGAGACAGACATGTTACAGCAAAGCTCTGGCATGTGCCAAGTGCTGCCAGGGGTCATTGTTGGTTTGCAGTGCTGGAATTCTCTGCCCCACATGCAGACGTTCTGTGTTCATTGGTGGCGCTTCACAGAAAGGTTTCCCCCTTTCTACACACATTTTGAAAGTCCCTGCACTTCTATTTCATGCTGGCCGGGAGAGCCAGCCAGGCTTTATTGGTGTTCACCACACTTCCGCAGAAAGCTTAGGGTATGTTCTATGTTTTGAATGATTTGTGCCACTTCATGTGTCCCCAGAGGCAGGAAATGCCCTTGGGCTGGCTTCAATCTAAAGGACCTGACAAGCCAAGGATATTGGCAAGTCTCAGTCCTGCGGCTCTCAGAGCAAAGTCAACATAACGCAATCCACAAAACACCATACTGCCCTGGGTTGCTGGGTGGGAAAAAAGCGGCATCAATAATCTCTGTTACTCTGGTGGCATTTTCCTAGGGCATGTACCAGGTTCTTATTCCTGCTAATTGTTTCCAGTTCCACGTGTAGGCTCTCCAGTTCCAGCGCCATCGCCTTCTGGGACTTCTGGGCTTCTGCATACTGGGCTTTGCTCTCTTCCCACTGGGAAGAATTAGGAAAAAACGTAATTACATCAGATCTCGCTGACAGCCAAAAGTCACTTCAACTGATCATGTTTTCCCCTTTGCTGCACAGCAACGTTTATTTACATTTTACTCCCAAACCGTTTTCAGCCATTGAATACAATGTAACTCAACCATTTAAAATTGATGTGGCTCTTGAGGCATTCACTTTCTATTTTCCACTAAAACCAGCTACCTTTCTATGGGTTACAGTGCCATGAAATAAGACTCCAGAATAACATGTGCAATGCTGCTCTCTCTCCACAGTAAGGCTTGCTTCAGGTGTCATTCAATTCTTTTCATAAATGGAAATCCTTAAAATAAATCCCCATCTTTCTGAGTAGTGAAGCAAGTGCCTCACACTGAAATTCTACTGTCTGTCTCTCGGGTTGTGTAACACAGTAGAGCCGGGATCATTAATTTGGAAAATTATGTGAATTACGTGTAATTTGTGATTAGAGCAATTCATGATTTTGGAGTATGCAAATGGGCTTTTCATGTAGTGCAAATTACATTTGCAAATACACATGAAAGATCACATTTACAAATGCTAATTTGCTCTTGATTTTTATTGCTCAGCTATTAAAACAACAATGATCTTAAATGTGCAACAGACATCTGGAAGGCTTAATGTCATTCTAAACCCGGGGGGATGGGGGGGCGGGACCTCAGGCCTAGGAGCTGGATCCAGTCCCCGGCTTGCCTGGATCCAGCCCCCAAAGTTCAAGCCTCCACCAGCATTGGGGAACCCATGCTGGTATTCCAGCACCCCCACTGCCCCACTGTGGGGCAGGAGCACACAAAATCAGGGGAATGTGGGAGTGCAATCAGGAGCCACACAGTTTGGGTTTTTATTTTGCTTCTTACTTGTGTGAGGCCCCCAACTGATTTTTCTGTGGTTTAGTGGTCCTTAAGCCAAAAAAGGTTTCCCACCCCAGTCTAAACTCTTTCAAAGGACAATTGCAGTTCAGTGCAGGGAATACAACTAGCTTCCAGATACCATAAAGATAAGCTCCTGTTACCCTATCACCCTTTTTTTGAGGGAAGGGTGTCTTTTTTTTAATTATTCTTTGCTTGGTTTGTGTCTTAAGAGACTCTCTCCTGCCACTTCCCCTTCCTGCCCATTGCTGCTTTCTCTGTCTTGGCTCATCCTACCATTTGACACTGACATTGGCTGATTCTTCTGGAAATATTTTCAGAAATACTAAAGCCATGTTCAGTCAGCAGCACACTCCAGCTTGGATTTCAAAGGGGGTTACTGTTGATTTAACTCTGCTTCCTTTGAAGTCAGTGGGAATTTTACTGCTGACTTAATGACAGCAGAGTTAACTCAATGCTGAAAGCTTTTGAAAAGCCTGTCTTCTCAGTCCACACATCCATGTTCCCATTGTTTTAGCTTAGCTGTCAAGAAGTGCAGTTTGGCATGGTCATGTTTGTCCTCCTGAAGAGGAAGTTACTTTGCATCTAAGTTTGATCCCACACTACTTCTTCAGGTTGAGTCAGAATCCTAGCACTTGATTTTATGAAAACACACCTACAAATGTAGAACAGGTTGAACTTCCCTAGCACAGCACAACGTGGTCTGACAGCATCCATTGTCCTTCGTGATTTGAGTTAGCCAGATGTCCATTTATCATGGGTGTGGCCAAGTTTCCTGCAATCCCATAAAGTTTGTTTACAGCTACGAGCCCTGGCTCTCAAAGTTCTATGCTGTTATTTAGCTCTAATGTCTTCTCAGAGCCCAGTAAGCAGGGGCAGTGTTAGTAATGCTGCTAAACAATATTGAACTCCCATGGGCCAGCAAAATCTCTGGTTCAGGTCCCGAGGGTGCTGTACAAGAGAGGTTCAACCTGTATTGTGGGCAGATCCACAACAGCTAGGAACAATGAGTGACACCACCACCTGACAGCACAGAAAAGGAAGGGAAGAAAAATAAAGTCCCCGTTCACACCACAGATAAAACTGTAGTTGGAAAGAAGGAACTAAACGCATAGCCCTATTCAGATCAGTTAACACAAACACCATTGTAAAAAATGCCTTGGGATTTCCAATGACAGCCACGGTCTGGAAATCCATACAGAGCCATTACTGATTGGGGCATTTCTAGTGGGCAGCCCTGCAGAAACAGATTTTGAGATGGCATTTCAAATGGAGGACCAGATGGTTTGCCAGTTTTTGGCAGTGGCCTTCCAGTTTCAGGGTGCACTGAGCCCTGGAATTTCATCATTGGATTTGGCCTGGCATTTTCCTGCCTTCAAATTCTCAATTTCTGGTGCTTCAGGGTCACCCAGTTTCTACAAATCAGTCAGCTCCTTATGTACAAAGTGCAGTAAAGGAAGCTCAGCCAGTCTTCCTTCCCTATTGACTGAAAGAACTGGGCTTGTTTAGTTTGTAAAAGAGAAGATTGAGAGGGGCCATGATAACGGTTTTCAGATAACTAAAAGGGTGTCACAAAGAAGAGAGAGAAAAATTGTTCTTCTTGGCCTCTGAGGATAGGACAAGAAGCAATGGGCTTAAACTGCAGCAATGGAGGTTTAGCTTGGACATTAGGGAAAAAATCCTACCTGTCAGGGTGATCAAACACTGGAATAAGTTGTCTGAGGGACTGTGGAATCTCCATCTCTGGAGATATTTAAGAGTAGGTTAAATAAATGTCTATCAGGGATGGTCTAGACAGTATTTGGTCCTGCCGTGGGGGCAGAGGACTGGACTCGATGACCTCTCGAGGTCCCTTCCAGTCCTAGTGTTCTATGATTCTATGAGTGCAAGGGCTGGGCTGACACTTTTATGAAGTGATATCGCCCACTATGCTGAGACACAGACCAAATCCTTCACAGGCAAAGCCATAACATCTTTATTATTCCAGTAAAATTAAAAAAAAAAAAAAAACCTTTAGGGTTACTTCCAGGCATGCACACTCATTAGAAACAGAACATGAAATCAGCGGTCAACGCATTTCCTAGTTCAAGACCTGTGAAACTATTATTAAAACTATATTCCCATGTCTAAAGTCAGTCCAACTGTATGAAATGTCTTGTAGTTTACAATCAGTCCAGGCATGGATCTGAAAAGAATTATTGCTGTCTCACAGTGAGGCTTTATGAAATTCCTCCCTCCTCCCAACTCAAAATAATGTTCTGCATTTTGCAAACAGCTTGGGTAATAAATTACTGAAATTACCTAAGTGAAGGACCTAGAAGGAGTTAAACATCATTCATTTCAATTTTCAATTACTACTTGTATCACCAAAAAAAAAAAAAAATCGAAGATCACAGAAGTCTGGGTTTTGTGTCTGTGTGTTTCTGCTATAGAGAGGTTGAGTTTTTTAAGTGGCATGGCTCTCCTTTGCACAAGTGAATGTGTACATACCCAGTCTGTACCTCCTGGCCTTCTTTTAACATTGTTACAACACATTCAATGCCTGCTAGTAGGATCCATATTCTAATGAGTTTCAGTACAGAGATGGAGGAACAGAGAACACCTAGCACTAATAGTTTTTGAAAAGAGAAACAGCTGAAATTGTTCTCAGGGTGAGCAAGCATTGGGCCATGGAGGTCACTCACTAGTTACAGACCAAGTTCCTGTGCTTAGACTGCATATACATCACATTCCCTGCCCTTGTTCAGCACTTCCAGAACTCACTGGGACAGCTCTGAGCTAGCACTTTGCAAAACGCACCCTTCCAACTTCAGGCTTCATTCCCCTGCCTCGTACTTTGCAGTAAAGCAAGCTGAGGGGAACAGGAGATGATGCAACAGTGTAGAGTCCCTAAGTTCTTAGAGCGGGCCAAGAAATATTGCATGGTAGATTTAGGAGATATTTGTTCTCTCTAAAATTACGGTGTACATGTGGTGTCTTATTGCTCTCTGCTCTCCTGACCGACTGTTCCTCCTGCCATGCCGGATGTGCCCTGGAATATCTCAACCCAGGAACATCATGTGATGTTCAAAAACAGTCTCAGTAGTCACAGAGGCCCATGAGTGCTTTCTGTAAAGTTACCCAATTTCCATGGGAAATGGCTCAAACTCCATGAAGACACAGTGAATGCCACTGATTTTTCTCATGGTATTAAAAATACATCAAACATTCCTTGGGGCAGCATGATGACCCTGTGATTGCTGGCCCACACAATGTCCATGTTACTCTTTGCTGGCAACTGGGCTGAGACGTATTTCTTGGTCTTCTGCTCACTGTTACTAACTTGCTCTTTCACAGAGGCCTGGATTTCCTTCATTGCTCTTCCTCCACAACCTCTTCTTGACCCGCATTTCAGGTTCACTTTCTCCTGCCCTACTACCCCACTTACAGGTGGCGGTGGTGTTTCTAATGGCATTGCAGCCTTCATAGGTTCTTATCTGCTGGAGATGTTCAATCCCAGGAAAATTAAACAGGATTAGGAATTCTCCTGAAGACTTGCTCCCCATCCTTCATGAAAACAGATTTATTTCTATTTGAATGCTACTGTCTCTCCTGGCTCTCATTAAATGCCCAGGTCCCTTGTTTTCTTCATAATGGAATTTTCCTACTTGGAAAAGGTAAATTTAAATTCCCATCACAAATGCATTATGCATGAACTGATGAATAACATTCTTTTGCTATGCTAAGCCATCTGTTAAATACCTGTGTAAAATGAATGCTTCAGACTTATTAAGATACCAAACTACACGCCAAGACCAGGCAGGTTTTGCTAAAATATTGCATTTCTTGTTCAAAGTTTTTGTTCTGCCAGTGATTTGTGCAACTGGTTGTGGAATTAATTAGATTTTGAAAGCCTCATCATGCATGACATTAGAAATCTGAGGAAAGGGATAATCATGAGGTGGTTTTAATATAGGCATTGCCTTGCAGTGTGGTCAGCACATTGGGGAGTCAATATTCACAGTATAAGGACTCTGTCTCTAGAAAATCAGTCTCTAGGGAAAACAATAAGGGCAGTTTTAGAGTAGATAGCAGGCAATGTCTGGCTCTTCTTCTCTGGTC